CTAGGAGATTATGCAGCTGAGAACAGGAGCTGGACAGCTGAAGATAACGGGACAAGAATATCCACTCCCCTATGACATCTAGGGATTCATAGCAAAATCACAAGAAACTGAGTGTCTTAATTAGGCAAAACGACGCGGATATGCCAGGCAAGGCACTTCGGAAGAATATATTTCTATCGTCGAGCTGCGTGATTTATACTCGTGACACGATAGTTCTGTGCTGGGTAAGCGGGAAGAGGCTGACTGCGCACATTGAGTAAGCCCAGTTCAGCACAATTTATTGGTCATTTTACAGTAATGTCTCTTGAGGTTTGTCGTTTATGAGATTTTGTGCGAAGTGTCATAGTTTCACCCCCGCCCACGTACTGTTCATCTTGCGTTGGTTTTAAAAAGTCAACTTTATCAATCTAAATAAAACTTATTTGTCTGGTTCCATTTTACTAAATCACTGTTAGAGATGTGGGATGCTCTTTCAGCTGTACAGTACCATCACGTGTATATAAATTTCACCAGGTTAGATTTAAGCCTGGGTTAGACCGCATCGCAATGTATCTAGCCTCAATCATCAAAGTGGAAGTAAAAGAAAACACTCGGGCTTTTATTGCTTGCATTTCTCCAGACCTTGCCCCCTGGCAGCTGTTTGATAGTTTCATCCAGAGTTGGAGTGTGAGTGCTGTCAGCGGGTCACGCATCGTGAATAGCCAGTGTGCCGAGTCAGCTATGGGACACGTTCAAGCTCCCGAACTGGATGCAAGCTCGTCAACAAGCCTGGATACCTGCCAGGGGCGGAGTTGAAAAAATCGCGTATAAACTCGAAATTCCTCTGTCCCCGTGTCCACCCTAGAAGAAACGACGAAGGCGAATAATCCCTAGATGTCAAGGAATGGATATTCTTGTCCTTATCTTCAGCTGTCCCAGAACTGCCTTTCATAATGGAAATAAAAACATCCCTATATCTCTCCGCACGAAATAGGTCGGAAGAAGGCATTCTTCCTGCTTATAATATTTTATATTATCTTTTACTACTGTCTCTTCTCAAGATCCGTTTGTTGCTGATTCGTTACATCTATGATATTTTCAACAATCCTCTGAATAGCCTCATTTTCGATACTTCCAGATGCTTTATAGATTTAGGTTTTAGGCCATGAATGGCCTCCATAAAAAGGTGTGTATATCTTTAATATATATGACAGGTTTCGCATTAAAAACACAGTTGCAGAGTAGAAAATTTAATTTCTTGAAAGTGTTTCTTGCAATTTTTACGCGGGTTTTAATTTCTATATGAAGGTCGAGTTTGCTTGCTCCACAATCCCATCTATTAACTTGAGTGATTAATTTTTAAGTTTTCCAAACAACAAAATCACTTTGTTCCACTAAACATCATTAGTTTCCTTGTGTGTGTGTTTATATTGGGACCCACTTATGCTCTCAGAGAACTTCGCTCAGAAGAGGTCGAAAGCTTTGAATTTCACACCTAGAATTACTAAATCGTCTGGATATCATAACATTGTTTAAACCCACCTCCTTAACTGCTACTGCACTCTAAGATTTTCCTGAGCACAAATTGAAAGGGAATGGAGATAGCACCCATCCTTCCACGACACTACGTTGGATTCGCACCTGATCTGCTGTACCGTCACCGACGTTCACTACGGCTTTTCGATGCCAATACACATTTTTAATAATCCTTTACTCTTAATCAATCCCAGTTTGCTATAGAATGTTGGAGAGCTGCACACGTTTGTCACAAAGAACAGTATTGCCTTATTGCATATATTCTATTATGCAAGCGTGATAGCGCCTTTTTGTCGTTCCCAGCATCCCTGAGAAGGACAATTATTCCAATGAGAGCATCTAAGTAGAACAGAATCGAGAATCTGTGGGACCATCTCGATCGGGCTGTTCGCGCCATGGATCCGCAACCGCGGAACCTCGCGCAGCTGCCCACGGCATGGCTCCACGTCCCTGTCGGTACCATCCAGAACCCAACTGACTCACTCCCTGCACGTGCGACGGCGATCAGTTATTCAGGATTTCAAAGGGTTATTCATGATTTTGACGGGTGGTCACAATGTAACTGGACTACTTCTACTGCGAGAGTAGCCAGCAACTTTTTTTTAAATACAAAAAGAAATGCTTAACTAGCTGTAAAATCAAAGATCAGTCAGAAAATGTACAGCATTAAAATTGTACGGCGTATTAGCATAATCTCTCAGATAAGGATAAGCATTAAATTTTACTTTAGAAAGGTAAAACGATTGCAGATGAGTCGTCAGAAAGGCCTAAGGCCTAAGATGCCTGCGACAGGTAACTTTTTATCTTTCCGCAGTGCACGGGCGCAAGCTCCACGGGAAGGTCTGTTCTGCACTAATCGGAGATGGGGAGAGTGTCACCTTGGAGACGTCTGTTTGGAAAGTGGTAGCGCCCGATTTGACGACAAGAATAAATTTCTCTCGTCTCGTACCAGGAAATGAGGAAACCCGACGTTTAATGGATTTGCCATATTGTCATGAACTGAGAATCAAACCTTTAATGAAAAGCCTCGTATCATGAGTAGAAACCGTCAATGCCCAGGGCTGGAATTCTCAAATCAAATTCGACTGAAGGAGTCGATATGATGCTTTTCCAGATATGTGTTTTAGCAGTTGGTTGTGAATCTGGTCAACCTTAGGAACAGAATATTTAGCGAGAACACGGACAAGGGAGAATTCTTCCGTGGAGAAACGTGTTGTAATCTCCTTCCAGAACATTCGCAAACTCCAATGCACAGTTCTCTCCAATCGAAGCTAGTTATGTCGTTTTATATATACTATGTTTTCTGGTAAAATGTGATTTTCCTTTTTCCAACAACTTTAGAACACTCAATTGAGAGTGTCATCTTGTTCCTTCAGTCTTGACGCACTTTAAGCCGTACTTTAAGGGGAGCATGACAAGAAAGTAAAGAAAGATGGATTGTTCAAGAAGTCGCATATAATCAACCGAGTTTGTGTCACGAGGTCTCTCTAAAAATCAATTAAAATTTCTGCTGCAGGAATCGTATTGACCTTCGCCGAAGGCTTTTCCGATAGCCAAACGTGGTGGCACAATTGCATTCCACACGAACACACAGGCGGGGAAGGCGGTGACGTGGTCGGCCCGCCGAATGACAGCAGGCCACTGTGAGAATACTGTCTTGCGATCTTCTAGAGCTGTTTCCTTACTTCTTTATTGTGGGTCAGGGTAGAATGTAGGGCGTCTTATACTTTATTGTAATGAATCGACTTCGAGGTCGCGAGATAGATGAACGAACCCGGACGACTGGAGGGAATGCGAATATTGAGTTGCGAACTTCAAATGATAACGGCGCGTTTGAATTTGTTAAACAAGTATTCAAAATGCGATGAACACGCACGCACGTCTGTGCGCCTTGTTAGGTACTTCGTCGTGCTTAAAGAGGAGTCAAGTGTGTCTTAGAAGTGTTCGACCAAAAAGTACTTAAAAATAAAATTAGTTGGAATTTATGCGTTGGACATACTCAACGTTATGATAATCGCAAAGGCCCAAAACAACAGGCTCGTAATAAAATGTGAGATGCGAAGCGTAACGACAATGCGCTTTCAACGTTTGAGGTTATAATACGTCATTGCGCTGTGTTGTCGATACGTCAAATCATTGAGCGCTGCCATTCGCCATGTTCTAGCAGGAATGAACAGATTCCTTCACATTCATTACAAATTAATATTAGATGAATGTACTGAAGCGTCTTGCCACGCTCAAACCGCCGTATGTTGAACAAAGGGCGGAGTGATGACGCACTGGGACTTTCCGTGGACGTAGCGGGCCCAGAGCGGCTTTGGGGAGGAGGCAATGGGGGCGGCGGGTAGAGCCAAAAGGGCCTATATAAGGTCAGGAGAACAATGCCCCAGTCTTCTTGTGCTAGCGGCGTCGGCGACAGGTGTGCGTGTGTGCGACATCGCGTGTCTGTGCGTGTAGGTGCACTAGGGGCCGGTAATTCATTGTCGGACTTGCGAGACGCGTAGATGGTCTCGAAGTACAGCGGCTTCATACAGGGAACATCGGTGGTATGTTGCGGTGTGGTAGCTGTTCTTAAATTATCTTTCCTTGTAGTGGGTCTATTTATTTAGTTTATTATGAGCAGGGTAGTTGTTAAATTGAGACTACGGTCTAATTGTTAATAAATCTACTGTTTTACAAACCACTCTCGCCTGTGTTCGATTACACCAGTATGACACCATAATATTAATCATAAGATTAGCATCTTTTGCGCTTAGGTTAATCCTACTGGCGAGTCCTCACATGCTACATTCGGCGAATCCCGAATAGTGTAGACGGATTGCTTGCGATTCGCCGAGCGCCGAACGTTCGGTATTCGCCCTACCCATCTCGTGTCGGTCTTCGGCACACATTAAAGAGAGCGAACATTCGCCGAACACATCAGCTGTTCGGGATTGAGCGAGCGGGAGCTCGCTGCTCGGCAAATGCCGAATGTGTGGAGCCGCC